GAATAGACATTTTAGAGAGATTCTGTATTCGTATATACATACATAGAAATTCTACTAATGAATCGTCCGTTTTTTTGTCAAATAACACTGGTAACCTATAAGGAGCCGGGTCGACGGGAAACGTATTATATAATATAATATCCAGCAACTGGCGTGGAGCCTATGTTATATCACAGCGGTGAAACTTGGCAACCGATTTGTTAATATGATTCCGGGGAAGGGGGTTGTCAAAAGCCAAGTTATTATAATATTTTACCGTTTTCGTTGGAATAAATATATTCGTTTGTATATTTTCTCTCGATATATTTTTACAATTTAACGGTTTATTATAATAAAACATTTTTTTGATTAGCAAATGCTCCATATTTTTCACGCAGTATATCTTTTTAGAAGTTCACCGTCTATATGTGTTTTTTTTATTTTCTTGTTTATTCGTTGAATATTGGATTACTTTGGCAACAAGGAAAAAAACACCACTAATATTATAAAACATAAGTTGTCCCGTCCGGCTTTGCCCGCACAGTAAAAAAGTTTCTATATAAAGATTAAAGTTAATAGATAAATTATCATTACATGATATTATACCATAAATACCCGTACAGGCGTACAGCACAGGGATTGCACTACAAAAATGAATAACAAAGTTTTTTTTTCATCCGTGTTATCAAGTTAACGCATGAATCAACGAAAATAATTAGATTTTCATGCTCAAAATATCTAAAAACTGAATTTTATAGAATTGTATTCAATAAATGGTGAATTTCAATAGCTATGAACCTTATTCGGTCAACGTGGAACAACTTCCCAAAGTTCTATGGCGATCGGAAAAATGATGAAGTAATGCATCAAGGACAAACAGACATTTATTCGCTTTTACGTTATATTTAGTAGAGAGATTATTACAATTACGCAGATAAATTATAATTATTTTTTTCTTTGGCAATAATTTGCCATTTTATATAATACAAAAACTAAATTACCCAGTATGACACCCCAACTACCCACCTGCAACAGTGGCCGACCCATGATACGTCACGCCATTTTGAAATTCATATAAGGTTGCAACACTGATTACACGAGATTTCAATAAGATTTTACACGAGTTTCGTCATTTAAATTCTGAGTGTACCGAAAAATGTATTGATTATACTAAGATGTTTATTTTTTTTTTTTTAACCTGTGTACAAAAATTCTACCAGAAATCGTGCTAGGATATATATGCGCGGTACCATTTCTGAAAAGGAATGTTGCCCAAATGGTACTTTAAGAAGGTAATTTTTTGATTTTCCAAGCGGTTTTCATATCTGGGAAAAATCCGGATAAAACGTAAGAAAAACGGTAAATTTATGAAAATAATGCTATTATTATTATTCAATTATGTTATTTGTTGTAGTTCTGTTAAACATATTTGTAGAGACTTGAAATTTAGACAGAAAACTTATATTTACCTTTTCCAGTCGTAAAACTTCTAAAAATTTTAAGTAATTTTCGAGCAATTTATAGTCATTTTAATTTTCGAGTTTTGTACGTAATTTTTATACGGTAGGTACTCTGTGGTGATATTGTTAGACTTAATGAAAAAGCTTTAAAATAAACAGGAAGTTCATTAAGAGTCTTAATTTGTGGTAAAAATAATTGAATTTATTTAACACTTTTTTTTTATAAGGGAATTTTAATATAAATTTTTGACGAAAATAATTTTATTATGTGGAACAAATCTAATTTTTCAATTTTTTTTTTCGAACATATGTACATACTAATTTAAGATGATGGTGAAGTCAGAATTGAGCGGACTAAATTTCGAAATTATAGGTTTTTGAAGTTCTGATATTATGCGGAGATTATATGTTATGTTAAATAACTGTTTAATAATTTGTAAATTGCAATTAATATTGGCCGCGGTCTATTAGTTAAACATACCTATTATCATCTTAGGGGTCCCGAGTTTAATCCCAGGTTTCAAACAAAATTGTTTGCATTTTTTCCCCCTTTTACATAAATAAGGAAAAAAACAAATGCATTTTGGGTGTTACTAAAGAAAATCTGACTAGAGAAGTACTTGAGAGGGGTCATTTTTCGATTTTCCCAAGAGTTTTCTCAGAAAATGTGAAAAACCGAGTACAAACATGAGAAAACCTGGAAAATCGCAGAAAAACGGAAATGTCAGTACAATATCAAACAAATATTATTAAAGAAAATATATAATGCCTATTTAATTTTTTTACCACAATATGACATATATATTATTGACAAAGGATCACTAATAATTTTACTTTTTTACCATGCTAAAAACATAATATTATGTTTTAACTGAATACATTTTTCATCAAAAACTAACAATGAAATACCTCGTAATATCTTTTTTCGCGTGCGTTTTACGCATAGATGTCTTATGGTATTTATATGTGTGTGTATTATGGATGAATAGAATAAATATATATGATAATAAAACCGTATTACTCTAGTATAATATCAAACGATTTTCGGCACGAAATTCTGTAAAATAAAAAAAGGAAACAAATCTGTTTTACAACCGTTTTGGATGTCGCAGAAAAGCCTGCAGCAGTCTTACAGTAAATTGAAAATCGAAATGCGTTATGTCGAGTCACGTCATCTGGAAAAATTTCCAGCGAGCTTGACAAAGCATAAAATCAGTTTCCCGGTTCTTGGAATCAGTTAAGTAATTTCCAAAATGTTTATTTGCGATAAAACCGAAATGCTTTGTACTTGGCGAATCGGTATGATTTGATAAATAAATGTATGGTTTAATATTTGTATAGTTGTTTTTTTTTTTTTTTTAGAAAAACGTTAGTGGTTAAAACTGTTCTTTTATATTTCTTTCCTGACATTTTTTTTAGATTTGGAGTGTAGCGAGGGATATAATTTGGTTTTACTAATTTACTATAATGTAGGTGTATATATATATATATATTTTTTTGTGTGTCTGATCAACTTTTTTACCAGAAATCTTGTTCTGATATATCAAGTGTACCTTTTCCAAAAGGAAATATTATCTAGCTGGCAGTTTGACAAGTTTTTGATTTTTCATAGGGGGTTTTCATAATAATTGAAGAAAACCGAAAAAAAATTCTGAAAATAGCATAGCAAAATCTAGCAAATTTCTAGCATTTTTTTGATATAAGTTTTGTAGACTTAGTATAATGTGCCGGTGCCAACTTGGTCATTTCCCGAGTGCATTTGGTCCAGACGGAGCCGCTGAAATGTCTTAAATTCCGAAAAAAATAGCCGGAAAAAGATTCACAAATGTATGTAAAACATAAACGTTACAATATAATGCAGCGCAACCGTCTCTGTTTTAGAGGAAAATCTGGAGTCAGTGTCGGCAAAATAACATCGATAGGAAATCGCGTATAGCTTTATACGAAATACCGCTCATTTTAATATAATTTAAAAAAATATGCGCTAACGATGTGTCCATTTCGTGTGTTCGAGCCGAACTTTTACGGAAACGGCAGTAACGGCGCGTACCCCCAACACCGCGGGCCGCCGTGATTTCCAAAATAAAAAAGACCGGACCACAAAGAGCACTAACCCGAGACGACGGTCGTCTCTAGACCGACGACAGTGACGGCGACGGTGGCGTCGTCGTCGTCGATTCTTACTCACCGTGAGTGCGTATACCTATAATTAGAAAAACAAAAAAAAAAAAACCTCCGTCTCTTTTCGCTGTCAAACCGCCGGTCGTGCACACTCACATCCATCTGTCTGTCGAGTTTTACTATACTAAAAAAACGCTGCACATACGCTCATAAAATTATATATATATATATATATATATATATTATACAGGGTGATCAACGTATAACGCGAAAAGTTTATTATTTAGGATATTATTCAAATTTCTCGGATAATTCGAGGTTGAAACCACCACTTATGATTTCCGGAACCTTGGCAAGACATTCGCATAGGGTCATCGCGGTCTATATAGGTACACGAAAACGACAAACTTAGAATGTCTCGGTGAAATGTAATCAAATACTAAAACTCCATCTACTATGCAACTTTATTATAATCGCTACTATAGTCACCGGTTGGAAAACCTAATAGTTTCCGTCTTCGGAAATAAAGGCGAAAAAAAAACAACGGTAATCGTACAAAACAGTTTGATTTTTGATTTTCTAAAATAAAAAAATAATAAAAATAGTCCGTTGAGATGTTCAGCGACGTGAATAGGACCGAGTAATATATTTCCAAACTAAAAATCACACAATTTTCTCAACATTTTTCGTTACGAATAATATAAACAAATAATTTTATTATCGATAATATTATGGCGTGTTCCACACTCAATATTCGGCGGTTTATATTGTAACGAGCTACCTATATTACGAAAAACGAAAAAGGGCTGACATTCTTCACAAGTGGGTGGGCCACTGTCATAGGTGAGTAGTTGGAAATGTAGTAGAAGGAAAATTGAATGTATATCTGTACGCAACGATTAACCATTGCTAACGAAAAACCGAATCTGAGCGGAGTTCGGTTAATTGCGTTGCTTTATATATATATATATAAACAATATACAATGTATATATTATGGTAAAATAATTACATATTATGCATTATATTATATTTTCTTTAACAATATTATTTGTTTATTAAAACAGCTGGAAAAATCAAAAAACTGATCTTCCTTAAATACCACCCCAGGCAGATTTGCTTTCAGGAAAAGCGCTATCGTTGTGAATCGGAGTAAAATTGCTGGTAAAAATGTTGTCCGAGGGGAAAAAAAAAAAAAAAAAAAAACGTAAAACCAATACATTCCTCGCTCTAAAACAGATCCGAATCTTTGACCGCTTCGGGTAAGGGTGGGGAGGTTGATGTATCGCCCACATCAACCCCCACGAGTACATCACTGCGGGGGAATGTTGATCGCTCTGTATATCTACATGCATCGTCTATTATACGGTCTTGTATATAAATTAGTTATTATTAGTAAAGTTCGGCGGCGGCGGCGGCGGATTGGCAGCCGGCAGCGCGCGCGTTCGAAAACGGACCGTCGTTCCGCGCTCATTGCCATCGACGTTGTCGGACGACCGGTCGGCGCACAATTTTTTTTTTTTTTTTTCATATGTTTTACGCGTAGCTATTATAGTTTAGTAGCGTTAAAACAATACGGTTTCGCAACAATCGTTCCCCGGTCCGCGTATAATACAATTTTATTGCTTACGTACATCACCGTCATCATCATCATCTGTGTGTACGGTAAACGTAAATTTGTCACAGTTCGCGCGCCGTTTTCGTATTCGGTATTATGATAAAATTGATGATAATAATTATGCAACACAGCGAGACGATTTTTATTAATAAATCGTTGCCGAGCCGCCGATCCGCCGCCGCCGTCAATGACACACTCGTGATTTAAGCTTTTCCGATTATTTGTACGCACTCGTCGCGATTACCGCGCCCGCGCATAATATTATAACGGAAATTCGAATTCGCCGCTGTACCGGAAGAACCGCACACGATGCGAGCGCGATATTTCCACTATCGCGGGACGATTTTTTTCCGTTAAACGCCAGCCGTATATAGGGGAATCGATAAAAAAAGAAGCTGAAGATACCGGACGCCTATGTATATATTTTCTAATATTATTACCGACGACCGATCATCTGTTGTTCTATGTACGTATTTTGTCTCGATATACCTATAATATACATATTATAATAATAACGTAATCAGACCTCGGAAAGTCTTTGTAACAACATCACGCTACAGTTTATCGTCACCATTACCATAATATTATTCGCCGTGATTTTGTTATAAAATATAGGTAACGCATTGTGGGCTGTACGCGGCGTATAATAATAATAAAAAAATAAAAACGTATCGGTAAAGAATTTGTTTTTTTTTTTGACTAGCGATATTGTACAGCAGATACTAATTTTACGTCATATCCGGTTAAAATTTAAATTGAATCCGTTAGATGTTTTGTTTGTAATACATATTGGAACGGATTTGAATATTTAACCCGTTCATTCCTGTAGGTCTGATTATAATATTATTACGGTTGTTGTGTTTTTTTCTTTTCGTATTATTAATATTCCGATTGATTCTATATACACAGTGATCAATCATCGATTGCACATTCATCTCGGGTGTTTATATTACACGAATTGTTCTTTTACCGACTAAAATTTAATTTACTCGTGACACTCGTGATACGTGGACGGTGATGTTCAATCGAGGATCGTCCTGTATTGGATATATTATAATACATATATAGTTAGTTATAGGGTCGGATTTCGATGCAAAATGCCTTTTTTTTAGAGTGATATTAAGAAATACTTTCCAAGAACATAATTTGATTTATATAACAGAGACTTCAAAGGCGAAACTTTTATTTTTCTTTTTCTTTTTTTTTTACTTTTTATTGCATTTTTCAGTGTTTTTTTTTTTCATTTGTATACTATATTTTAGTCAACTTTTTCGTTTTATTGCGTATTTATACAATATGTACATTAGTATTTTCGACATTTTTCAATCTGAAAAACAATGCATCTAATATTTTTTTATTATTATTTCTATCATCATATTTAAACTAATATAAATAAACCTAAATATTACATACTATATTCATTTAAAAACCATTTATATGCAACGAAAAATCGTAGCGTACAGAAATAGGCAGCACATGTTAAAAATTAGTAACATGTGTAAAATAAAACTTTGTATTTTAGTTCTATATTGTTCAAACTTGTTGCTTATCTAGCTACTTTTTAGACTGTCTAAATAAAACACGCAAATGCATATAAATCCAGGCCCTATTAATAAATAATATAGTTGGTAATTATATTAGTATACAAGTGCACGTACGTAATATTGAATAAATTGAAACCGATGACCGAAATGATAATATGGGTATACAAAATATCCGTACATCACGTCGGTTTAGGTATGTTTGGACAATATTATTTCAGTACGATGGATTTTTATTGATTTTATTACTATAATTATTATTATTTTTATTATTATTATTATTGTTATTATTGTTATTATTATTATTTGAATTTAAATTTGCAAAATTTGTATATTTCGTACTCTCAAAGGCAATTCCAGAATTCGTAAATTACCGAAATTAAAACAGTCCAATAATCACCATCGCTACTGCTAGACTGTTTTATAATGCTGTTTTAACCAAAAATCCCGGTTCAAGTCAATTTTAGACATTTTTTTTTTATAATTTTGTCCCGTGTAGTTAATAATTATTTCCCTTTGACTTAAACAGCATAATCGATGTATTTTCAAATTTAGCCTACGCAGTATGTATGCATATTGCATATTATTACAGTGTACTATAATATTCGTTTTAGTATGCAAGTGCAGTATGATGCATTTTAAAAATGTAATCTGTTTGTAGTTCGAAATAGTGATGTGTTCATCATTTCAATATATAAGGGGGGAATAATCTGAATATAACTACAATCACACGTACAAAATCATTAAATACACTTTCAGATAGAAATCAGTGCTTATTTCTTTAAACAGTACATAGTATTTTATAAAACAAATAATAAAATGTAATATCTAATACAGTGAAAACATATAAGTATACAACAAATTTGTATTATAAATATTATATCGTTTTCAAATACCAATTATTAAAAAAAAATACTGCAATAATTTCACAGGAAATTGATAAAGTATATTAAGTTAGTTATTTAAAAAAAAAAAATCAAGGGAGAATATGACAATCTCCTCCTCTGCCCCTTCCCCCGTGAACACACCCCTGGTTTAGAAAACTTTTCGAAATTGATAAATATCCTTCTTTCGCCGGCACGCACATAATTAATATTATATATTCTATTATTCGGCCGACTTGTTGGAAGTTACGCCATTAATATAATAATATTTTGTAATACGATTTATAACTAAGTATTAACCGAGTGTATACTTGCAATAATGATTTATTGTGTAATTATTAATATTAATAATTTCGAACGCTTTATATAACAACGCGACATGCATAATAAAAATCAATTAGTTACCTGGATTTTTATTTTCTTTCTTGTACGCCAAACAGGAACGGGGAAAAAACGAAAATACCTATAGGTATATTTATTTCGTTTCTTCTTCGTCTTTGGCCTGTCGGTCCATCAATAACGATCGCTGCCATCGCGAATACTTCTCGTCTCTCTCTGCCGTAGGTACATAATGTCACGTCAAAGTAGTTTTTATACCATTAAACACAACCTTGGGTCTTACGGTCGTTTTTGGTCCATTTTGTTAATCGATAATACAGGCCCGTCCCGCGAATATATACTCCTTGAATATCTCCGGAGATAATAAACATAACCAAATCCTGTTTTGTTTTCATATTACTCACAGGAAAGAGGACTATAAATATTTATATTTGAATTGAAAACAATTACTTTATTTTATTATTTTCGGAAAATTTAAAGATTATTTTTCTGAAATTTTAATGATCACACATTTATACCGATGAATAGTTTCTAAGTAATAGCCATTTTAAATTCTACTAATCCGTGTGAAAACCGATGTTATCGCATAACACGGTTAGGTTTTACTCTAGATAACATCGGTTTTCACACGGATTAGTAGAATTTAAAATGGCTATTACTTAGAAACTATTCATCGGGTATAAATGTGTGATCATTAAAATTTCCAGAAAAATAACCTTTACAGAACGGCCATCTTAACATTTTCCGAAAATAAAAATATTTTTTTAATAAAAAAAAAAACAATTAAATAATAATATAAATATTTGCAGTCCTCTTCCCTGTGAGTAGTATAAAATAACAGAATTTAATTATATTTATTATGTTCGGAGATATTCAAGGGGTATATCTTCATGGGACAGCTGTATTGTTTATTTTTCATAAACGATAAAATATTTATTCTGTTTTACAGCCTTTGGAGGTTTTGATTTTTCTCTTCTCGTAAGTCGGCGATTTTGCGTTTAAGCTTGGGCCGTATAGGTATATATTTCTCAATAATTTTCTTTCGAAAGTAATTAGCCATCTGCTATAATTTCCTTTGGTCAGTGACCACGTTTTGATCACGTAGGTATCATTTAACTACGATTACTCTAGTTAGGTTAAAAACTTACATTTCCGAAAAAGCCAAAAATTTTCAGAAAATTGGAAAAAAAATTATTTAAGCTTAAAATCATCTGAGTAAAAAAAAAATCTATTAAAACATAATTAAAAAAATTAAAAAAATCTACCTCGCACAATATTATATAACCACAAAGTATTCGATTGTATATTCCGAACATTATTCTTCGTATACATTCAATAATAGTTATTCTAAATACTTTCAAAAAATATTTTACCCGAGTTGATTAATAATAATAAAACAAATCGAAATCACTTATACGAATATAATAATATATTATTTCCCTAATACTGTAATGATTACATAATATCATTGCTGTATTGTTTATAAAATACCGGTAAAACGTTCCCAAGTATAGGAAAACATGAAAATATTATCTATAAAATGTGTCCCACCATGTTCGACGGATTTTTCTAGCCTTGTAAATATTCCAGTTTTTTTTTTCAATCGGTTTTAATTTATAAATATAATTTTCTAACACCATAAAAATGATTAATAAAAAGTAATTTTTTTTTTTTTTATAATATGTACGATTTTATTTAAAAGAAATTATTGTGTATGAATCAATTTTGTAGTGTTAGGAAATGTAATTTAATAAGTTAGAGCCATTAATGGGAGGAAATGATAGAGGTCTTTTAGTCTCCTCTACCATTTTTACTTTTTTAAATGTTTGTAAATGTTCTTTTCAGACATATTTTTTTTATGTTTTAAAACGCCTTTTGTGAACTATAAGATAATATAAATCCAGTCACTAGACTAATAAGTAATACAATACGATCGAAATGTTAAAAAACATTTAAAAAAAAAATTCAAAAGTCTATAATAATATGCGAAATATAATACTATGCAATTGATATTGCACGGTATTATGTGGGGGAAGGATAATAATATTATAATGATAAAAAGGTTCGAAAATAAACGACGCATCGTATAAATAAATTTATTATAACTGCTTACATATACGAACGGAAGCATAAGAATAAAATATTTTCCGAGAGTATAAAAAACTATTTTACGCGATAAAAATGCCCACTGATGTCCAGTCGGCGGTATATTTTTGAACCGTAAGACGATACGTGTACAATCGTACACTGAAATACAAGAAATAAGCGAATTTATCTCCATGTGGAAAATATTAGAAATTACCAATTAAACATCGAATGCTCAAAACAAATTAAAATAAATAAATACCGACAAATAATGTAAACTATTGTTCTTTTGCCAATTTGAAAAAAAAAATATATCTAAAACAGTTTTAGATCGTGACGAGGAATGTATTGGTTTTACAATGATGTTTATTTATTTTTTATATGTGAACAAATTTTCTTATAGAAATCTTGATCCGATTTTCAAGTGTAGTACCTTTTCTGAAAGTGTGGTACATTAAAGGGAGTTAATTTTTTTTTTTGATTTTCCAATGGTTTTCATAATAATTGCGAAAAATGGGAAGATGTACCTACATTTGTGTATAATAGAAATTTCACTCCGAATCGTTTTTCATTAGCAATAGTTCATCGTTGCGTACAAGTATAAATTAAATTCTCCTCTTTATATATCCTACCTCCTTAATTTCTCACCTACAACAGTGGCCCACCCATTGTACAAAGAAGCTGTCTTTTTTTTTTATCGTCATTATTAGAAGGTAATTTATAATAAAATTTGTAAATGAGAAAGTGGAGGAAAACAATTTTCTGAAATAACCTCAAATAACTTTGAACTATTTTTTGTTATGATCGGGGAAATTAAAATGAACAAATGCTAACTTTACTGTACTTCAAGAAAAAAAGATTTAAAAATATTTTTAGAAAATGTTTGGTGGTTAAAACTTTTATTAAATATCATTTGTTTTCTACAATTTGTTTAAGCTTTTGCAAATGTCAATAATTTTCTTTTTAATTATAATAATTTTATTATTATCACTGCAGTTATAGTTATGACTTCTTCTTCTCTTTCTTCGCTCTCGTATCAACTATTTGACATCACTCCCCTTATCCCAAACTTCCATTTAGTGTGATCACCCACCTCGCATACACTGACATATCGTTCTCGAGCACATACAACCACCTATTTTTCTTCTTTTTTCTTTTATAATAATAATTATTATACAATATTAACTTGTATAAAAATATCACCGTTATTTGTTATGTTCTGCAATACTGATTACATAGCATAACAGATTATAAATGAAAATAGTAGTAGCTTTTTAATAGAAAATGAATGACCATGACTAAATAAAAGTTAAATTACAATATATTAAATGGAACAAAAGTAATTTCATATGTCAGATTTTTGCGTTACACTTTGTATAATAAATATTCATACGAATAAATAACGTTACGTCAATAAGACAATAATTATTTAAAGGCTGTTGATGGCTTTATAATAATTCATTATTATTTCGATTATTGTAATGACAAGATCAATACGCAATATACATCATGTGCACGCATATTTTATAGACAATCACGATAAAAAAAAAAAACAATTCCACAATAGCGCGCCAAAACAGTTAAACCGAAATTTTCTACGAATTCATTTCGATGGTAAAAATAGGGAATTTACTACTTTATAAATTATACGATTAGTGAGTATCTGTAGGTTTTAGTAGGAGAATAATCGAAATGCTAAACCAAACTGTGAAAATAATTAAGTGTAATTGTTGTAAAAAAATGTAAATTAAAAAAACAAAAAACCGGACAGGGAATATTATATATTTTTTTCCTCGGCGTCCTAGTCAATGAATATGGTCAATATTATAAAATTAATTTCGAAAAAAAAAAAAAATAATAATTCAAGTCTTTGAAATGTGTTGAATATTGTAATATTAACGTGCTTTTGAGATATTGCTCTGGTACGGGCGTGTAATATTCTTCAAACCGAAAAATATTAAATTTCGTATAGTAATTTAGATTAAATATAAACGCGTAGGAAAATAAACGTTTTCGATTATTTTCGTTTAGTGTTTTCGCATCTAAAAACGTTTTCTATTTTTGTTGTGTAGCTTTTTTCATGCGTATTTTAGATATTTTAGTGGGAGATAGTAAACTCTTACAAAAGTAGGTTATCCCCAAGATTGATATAGTGTTAACTTTTAAAAAATATATATGTTAACTCCTAAAAAATATGGTGTTAAGTTAGGTTAGGTTACATTATAGTATACACACACATAACATTATCTATTTTTAGGTAAAAAGAGACTACGTAGGAATTTACACTATGTTCTAAATTCAAGTAAAAAGATCATTTTTGTGGGGGTTTACATGTAGCCGTTTTAGTATCTCATTTGTAAACATCGTAATACATTAAATCAAGCCCATCGATGTGATGTGTTTTTAACCATAATGGTGTTTTGTAAACATTTGTATTCTATTTTTACCATAACTGTTATAATTTATACGTTGTACATTTCAATGCCATATCATCTATAAACAGAAGATAATGATTAATAAGTAGTGTGGTAATAATAACAGAATACATAATAATACCATCACAATCACCGTTTACAATACGTCAATACGGGACAAATTAATCAGTGATTAAAGCGGAAAGAACTTCGAGGGGGTACTATCATAGGTATTTAAAAAAAAAAATCCAATCATGTTAAACTGTTACCCAAGGAAAAGACTGAACACAAAGAAATTTCCTGGAAACAAAACCACGGAGTCAAAACTTCCAAAAATTGTTTTTCTCCCACACACACATTGTTTATACAAATTGTATATTAATAGGATTTAAAAATAAACTTTCTCCCTCAAAAGTGTAAACATATATTTTATAAAATATTTATATTATGCCTACTCAGTAAATATAAAAAGTAAAACAATATGATTTTACATTGTCATTTTGAGTTTTTTAATATCGCATTAAATAATTAACGTGTCTCCCTGGACTTCAAAGGTTGCAGCCATTAAAGGGGACGGATAAGTATTTCATCTTAAATAAAAGAAAGAGGATACCGCTCCGGCTCGTTTTACCCACTGAAATTAATGATTATTATAAAACTACATAAATACTTACGGGTCGCACTCGAACATTTAATATTCGTACGAGTGTAGGCCAGCGCAAAAGCAAACCAAATACGGTATGTCGACAAGGCGTGGTTATCATTTCGTTATCACATTACATTGGTATTATTAACGCCAATTCTATAACTACTTGCATACGTCTTGTCTTGTGTTTAGTGTTCAAAGGGTTTCAAAATTTGTCGAGTGTACTACTCTACCGGCTCTAAATTAAACATAAATGCCGTTATTGCGTAAAGTGTCGCAATAACAATCTATTTTTTATAAATTAAAACCACCGGCATTGGTAACCTTATTAAAAATATCTGGGTTTGAAGATATTTATACCTTCAGTATTTCGATTTTAAATAAAACGTTCGAGTATACGAGTTAAGTTTAGTACTAGAGTTTACGAGTACTAAAAAATAGGTTTCTCGAGTGGAGTACCTACGCGATATTTTTATAAACGTAGTACCAATGAATGCCCGCGTTTGCGCGTCGTTTAGAGCTCGTGCGATTATATCAATGCACCGAGTGCAAAACTCCGGTGAAACACTACAGAGTACTTTAAGCACAAGGAATAGATTTCTTCGTGCGCAGCAGTGTCCGATGTGGAACATAAAACCGTGCATCCGGTGTAGTCGTGTGAAAAAAAAACTCATTATTATTATAGTTAGGTACTATGTAATTATTATAATGGTGTTTAATGAAAACGACAAAACGGTTTCACACGCGCACGCGAAACAATAATTGATAAGGGGGTAAAAACGTTTAGGGAAACTTTCGTTTTAGCTAAACATTTTTACTCCCCTGTCATTTATCGTTTTAATTTATCGCGTTACCGCGCATAACATTAATCGGTTTTTCGCGGATATAAAAATGGAAATAGAAAAATATTGCAATTATTTTTTTCGCTAATAACAGTATTATCACCGCAGTAAGCGTTTCTCGTTAATTATTTTTTTTTATAGCTGATCACGAAGTTTATAACTGAAAAAATAAACTATAAAAAGAAAAAAACATTACTTTATGCCGAAGGTTTCTTCGTTTGTAGTTTACCGTTTTAACGACCTGAATGTATTACACAAATATTATGATAACCGATCGTTAATGATAAAAAAAAAAGTTGATAATCACGAGAAATCTTATAATTTTGTTTTCTTATTTTTTTTAATTATTCTTATTTATTATTCTCGCATTATATTCTCCGTCGGCATTACCTTTTTTATAATAAATAATAGACCTATACTGTTGTATAGGTCACAATTTGCGATGGTAGGGTACATTTAGTTGTATAATTCATATCTGGAAATAACAATAAACAATCAAAAATGAATATTATGAAAATGTAACGATGTCTCCAACATACATAAATTATTCAGTGTTTTCTAGTTTCAAGTAAATAAAAAAAAGTTGATACTGGGGATGGGAGCGGCTACTGTTGTAGGTGATAAGTTGGGAAGCTAGAAAACAAAAGTTTATTTCAATTATATCTGTAAACAACCATAAACCATTGCTTGAAAAAATACAATTCTGAGCACAGTTCGGTAATACATAATTTAAAGTGCCGTAATTTTTTTTGCGATTTTCTTTTAAATTTAATTTCAAAACGCTTATTTAAAAAAAAAAAAGTCATTCGATGATTTTGGAAATTTTACCACGTCTAAGCAAGTCCAATATTATTACCAAGTTTCAAGTTTCTACGTGTATTTATAACCAAATTACAGTAAAAACTTTCAAAAATTAAAATTCCTTAAAAGCTCAAAAATGGCTTAAAAGTTTTAGCGATGATACCGTAAGAAAGTAAATAAAAAAATTCAACAAAAAAGGTATCTTGTGATTTTCGATTAAATCATTTTTTTTGATAGAAAACGTCGTCCGTATTGTTATGAAATAACGAAATCCTGAAATTATACGTTTTCCTACGTTTTTTCCCACAAGTGCTTTTATTTAAAAAATGGCCCCTTTAAAGTACAATCTAGGCAACTTGAGTTTTCAGCAAAAATGATAGACGTAAAAATCGGAGTAAGTTTTCTAGGAAAAAACGTGTCCACAAACTAGAAAAAAAAAATAAATATCTTAGTAAAACCAATAGCTCCCTCGTTACACTCGAAATCTAAAATTAAAAATAATGAAACCGTTATTTACCTAAATTTCTCTATTCTTTCTACGTTTTTTCTCGGTTCTGTTCATATTGTTAAGAAAACTACACAGAAATCCACGAAATCCTAAATACAACAAAAAAAAATGTCCTTTGCGGTTTTTCGATTGTAGCAATATTTCTGGTAGAAAAAAAACAGTACAAATTAAAAATAATGAAATCGTGGCAACGTCGAAATGCCCCGCGGTAAATATTTGTCAGTTTTTCATATGTTTTTCCCAACTATTATAAAAACTGCTTTTATAAACAAAATATGACCTTTTCAATTTACCTACTAGATTTAAAAAGCAATAGAAAAGATTTCTGGTAAAAAAGTTGTTTACAGACTAGAAAAAAAATCATACATCATATTAAATCCAATACATACCTCGCTTTGCTCAGAGTTTAAAAACAAATAAACAACATGTATTTTTATTATAATTGGAAACTTTTATTTAAAAAAAATTGAATTAAAAATTCACCATTCGAAATTTCCGAGTTATTTTTCGCTTGTTTAATTGTATGGACTTTGTCGGTCGCAAAATTTAAGGTCCTTAGGTTAAGCTTTTTATAAAACAGAAAACATTCCAGTTAACAAATTCACAGTTTACATTTTAAGCGCAAACCGGGGGAAAACAAGATACGTTTTCAACATTTTTGTCGTTCCGTATATTATTTTATATATAGCCTCAAAATTCTTCAGCGTTTTTAGTTGTTATCCGTGGCCAAATTCCTGCGAATTTTCTACTTTTAAAATTTCTGAAATACTCTCCTGTTCCTATATACAATTATTAATGAAATAGCGATAAAATTCGTACAAGAAATCACTCGACGAAAACAAATATTATTATATATTATAGTGAAGACGGAGTTACAAAAAATCCACAAAGTTTTAAACAACAATCACTATCGGCTAAAAATATTTAAAAGTAAATGTTTATTAGGTACTTTATTCATTTTAACAGAATAATCACATTGCTAGCATATGCGTATGATCAGTGGTGTCAATACCGGAGGGGGGGTAAGATGAGTAAACGTCATGGACCCGTGACATTTAGGGGCTCCAAACCAGGGCTCAAGGCATTATTGGACAGACTTTTTTTTTCTTTTGTTGGTCGGCCCTGAGCCGATGTAATATTTTGTTATCAGCATTAGAAGTCTCAGTTACGCCACTGCGTATGGTTATACATCCAGTTCATATGAGTCAGGCCCGTTGAGACTAACATTTTTTTTTTTTTTTACAATAACATATGATTTATGGTCAATCGAAATCAATATGAGTTCAATGGATTTCTTTCTTTTAAGATAATTTTGAAAGTCTGTCAACTATCATGTACACGTATATATGAAGATGTGCCGTCTCGTTTCGTTGAGTATAATATTTACCGGGCTACATGACTGTTGGTATGACGGTACTTTAGTTATTATTGATTGTTTAATATTGACTCAATCGTTACGGTACTTGAATGTTTCTGGAAAAAAATGTTTCAAAATAGCCTAGTATTATCATATTATCGATTGTTCTCCATTTGTCTCGATATAAAAGAGCCTGCAATTCCGTTTTCCTTATCACAAACTTCTATAACACTATTACGTTTTGTACACTTTAGCAATAAAGACGAAGGCAGCACCAGCAACAACGATAACACGGCTATAACAAACGAGGAAACTGTGATCGCCGCCAACATCGGCAGTGCTCAGACGACGGCGCCTACACCCGTGACGGCGTCACAAGCCGTCGTCGTAGGCGTCGGAGGTGACGGAAACGGCAACGCCGCCGAAAACAGATCGGTGCCGAATATGGAAGTTCAAGTGGACGACGATATTGAAGAAGATGGATGCGAACGGTTCTCTTCGTGTTCGTTGTCTTCTGGAGAAGACTGCAACGACGTCGTTAACCGACACGTTTCGAAAATTGGCGACGACGATGATAGTTTAAAAACCTCGAAAAACAAAAACGGAAATAAGTGTAGTGACGGTACAGCGGCAGTAATCGTGGAGACAGAAACAGTGACTATTCAACCGCCGGATGTGATTATGCACCACAGTAACAACGGCATAATCAAACGGAAGGGTTCCCGGCGAAACCGACGTCGGAGGAAATCGTCTACGACAGTTACTGCAGTGGCAAACGATGTCGTGGACACTGACGGCGAAGGCCAGGACGAGAAGCCGACTCCTCCAGCCGCTATTTCTACCGTGGGTGAAGAATTGGTACCCCTAGCACCGTCGTCACCGGGGCCAGTGAACCCCCAAACTTTGGCAAGCGATACGATCGTACCAGACACGGATACCTTGGTCCCTGACGGTTCTTCTTCGTCGACAACGATGCCGACGACGACCACTCCTGTCAACAACACAAAAGCCAAAAAGGTTAACATTAATAATTGCGGAGATGGCAACATAAATAATTCAACCTCGAACACCGACCAAGCTGGCGATCAAAATACCGCGGCGACCTCGTCGCAAACACAACAGGTAAGAATCGAAATTATTTTATCTTATTAAAAATACGGGCAGAAGACCAAATGTTATAATAATATTTAAGGCGATACAAAAATAACAGTAACAGGTAAAATTATATTGTTGGTTAAAATAATAATTTATATTTTCTGTATAGCAGATGTGGCAGTTACAACAAGAACCTTCGACTTCGGCCTCGGCCTCGGCTGTTCAAGAGCCGCGCGATCCGGGATGCGCAAATCCGGAAACGGTCGTTGGGAACACCATCGTTGGTGTAACGATCGTCCAGGACCTACAGAGTAATTTGACCGATGATTTTGAGTGGAAGCTTAGCGAGGTTCACCGCTATTGGAAACGTCGCATGATGGAAAACGACGCACAATTGGCTGGCGAGTTGTCTAGGCGCGAGCGTGAGTTAAGAGAAGCTATGGACGCTCGAATGACGGAGATGGCCGAAGAGATGGTGGTACGCGAACAGAACATGGCTCAGAAAATAGTCGAACACGAAATGCACTTAAACAGCGTGTTGGCGAAGCGGGAGCGGGAAATTGAAGCTCGTAAGGAGGCGGAGATGGCGGAGAAAAGGCGGGAGATCGAAGCTTTAGCGAACGAAAAGATCGCCAAACGCGAACGGGAATTACTGGACGAGGCTAATGAAAAACTCGCGGCCAAAGAGAACGAAATCAAAGCTTCGATGAAACGCGAGCGCAAACTGTCTGCGGCTTTGGCCGAAGCTGCGAAGCGTGAACAGCAAATGTTGGCGGACGCGGCCAAACGAGAGCAAGAAATACGTGCCGAGGCCGAGCTGTTGCAACGGAAATTGGTTGAAGCGGAAGTGACTAAGGCTGCTAAACGGGAACGCGAGCTTCGGGCTGAGACAGCTACTCGGGAACGACAGTTGACCGCGGAGATGGAGGAACGCGAGCAGCGAGCGGCAGAGACGGCCGACAGACAGGTTCGTCGGCAGTGGCGCCAGTGGGAACGTGAAATGGTGGCCGAGAACAGGACTAAGGCGGAAGAATTGCAGAAAAAAGCAGAGACTAAACAAGCCGAGGCCCGGGCGGCGTTGGAACGTGAACATGCCGAACAGATAGCCGCTCTGGAAAGCAAGGTGAGTATTTTACAAAAAACCTACGGGTAGTAATTATGTAAATACTATTTAAGAGCGATGAGTTCCATTATATCGTTTACAGATGGCAGAGCGCATTCGTGTGGCCGTGCAAGAGGAACGTGATCGGGCTGCAAAGAAGGCTGACGAATTGCAACGGGTCGCCAAGGAAAAACAAGAACGAGCTGTGGCCGTTGCCGCGGCCGAGGCAGCCACGGAGGCCAGTCGCAAGGCCCGAGCCGAAGCGGACGCCGAGTTAGTGAAGCTCCGCCGGGCCGTGGACACCACGGCACTGTGGTACGCGGACCAGTTGGAAGCGGCCCGGGAAGAACAGGACCGGTGCACAGGTGAATGGAATACATTTTTATGACTAGCATGGCCCACAGTGGAAAATGGAAAAAAAAGAAAATAATAAATACTTATACTATGCCGTGTGCCGTAGAGAGGGCCGAGAGAGCGGAACGAAAGCTGACGGTGGTCGAATGCGAAAACGATAAGTGTAACGAGGCGCTCGAGGAGTTCGCGGCCAAGCTGGACAAACTGGAACACGAACGAAATGCCGCAAACAAGGAACTCGAGAACGCGCAGGAATCTCTAGTGGACACGTCCAGACGTCTGACAATTTCAGAAGAGAGACTAGCCGAGCTTATTCGGAAGGCTAACGAATTGGAGAAACAGCTCAACGAGAAGGGAGTGGATAATAGTGGAGCCGAGAATAATAATGGCGGTGACAATGCGGTTACCGACCCGGAGGACCAGGACACGCAGAACTCTTGCTGTGCACAGGCCGTAAAGTAAGTGTGGTCGAATTATTATTTTTTTTTTTTTTATAAATATGTTCTGAGCGCGTTTTTACTGAGTGCTTTTTTTTTTGTGCTTGTAAATAATTTTCCTACCTGAAATCTCATTCCGGTTTTCAATCATAGCGGTTTTTTTGTTTCAAATAAATTGTGTCTAGTTGGTACTGCATCGAAAAATTTTTTTCCTTGCGGTAGAAAAAATTTTTTAAGTTTACGGCAATAATGGTTTCATGGTTTTATAGTTTTTTAGATAAAGAGTGAGTGATCTATTGGTTTTACTATGAGTGTGTGTGTGTTTTTATCTGTGTGCGGGAAACGATTCGACCAGAAAATTTTTTCCAATCGCGAAATCGCATGAGTCCTTTTTTTTTATATTTTTTTTTTTTGTTATATTTTTTTTTTTTTTGTGTAACTTTATTTAAAATATTCGTAGAAACTTGAAATTTTGAAAGAAAACTTATATTTACGTATTTTAGACGCGATAGACAACTTAAAAACATTTTGACGATTTTGAGATATTTACAGGCATTTTACGTTTGCAAGTTTTCCACGTAGTTTTTATTTGGTAGATACTATATGAACTGTTGGACCAAACCAGAAAAAGTGTTATCATTGTAAATCGGAGTAAAATTTCTGGCAGAAAAATTGTTCACGGATAAAAAAAAATAATAAAAATAAACATCATTGTAAAACCATTGCATTCCTTGCTCCACTCAGAATCTAAAAATTCAAATTTCGACGATAATCGTAAAAATTAACGACGTCCAAAATACGCTTATGAGAATTTCGCTTAGAACAGTATTTCGTTAGAAATAATGCATTATCGATGCGTACAGACACAAACGACCACGTTTCAAACCTTCGTGTTCGCGTGTACACTCAGTATGAACACGCGCAAACGCATCTAATTCCGGGCTCCAGTTTTTTGTATAATAATCGTATGTTTTTTTTTTTTTTTTTTTTTTTTTTTTTTTTTTTTTTTTTTTTTTTTTATATGATTAACATGAACAGAAAGCGTGTGGCCCAGCTGATAGTGGAGCACGGCCAGAAGATGGACGAACAGCGCGAACGGCACGCGCGACAGATGCGCCGGCAGTTGGAAATGTTGATGGACCAACGACAAGAGCAGGAGCAGCAGCAGCAGCAGCAGCAACCGCAGCAGCCGCAGCAACAGCAAAATCAACTGCAGCACGGCGAAGAGCCGTGGAAACAGCTGACGCGGCGGCAGCGTCGGAACCGGGGCGGCGGTGGCAGCTGTGCCGGGGGCGTTAGCGGTGCGGGTAAAAACGAAAAAGGCGAGGCAGGCGAGGGGGGCGGCAACGGACCGTCGCCGCCGCCGAGCAACGGCGGCAGCGTCAGCAGCAACAGCAGCCGCAGTAGCCGGCGCCGGAACAAGCACCGCCAGCAGCAACAACAGCAGCAACAGATCCAGCAGGGCCCGCCGCCGCCCGGGCCCGCCGAATGACGACGTCACCGCGTGTCCCGCATCCGCGTCGTTATCACTATAGCGTTGATATTGTTTGCGATAATCCTTTTTCTCACTCGGCTCCCGGCGGTCCCGCCACCGCAACAGCGACGGCGGCGACCGCACCTAGGTTAGGCCGCGTTCCGCGCCCGTGTCCGCCTGTCCGTCTATCCGTTTGTTTATTTATCTATTCATTTGTCTTGTCGCATCTATACGCACGATAACATTGTATAATTCGTTCGAATCTAAAGCACACTATTACGCTATTTTATTATTATTATTATTATTGTTATTATTATTATTATTATTATTATTATTATTAATATTATTAATGGTATTTTTTTTTTTTTTTTTTCGCGTTTTTTACTATGAAATAATTATTATCAAACAAATATTGATATCGCGTTAGGAATATTACATTATAATCACATTATCGTAGCGTAGCGGTCGTCGCGCGGTTTTCCGTACGGCCGACGACGACGAGAGCACAATTTTTTTTTTTTTTTTTTTCAATTTTTTTTCCCACTGTCCAAATCCCGCACACGCGGCACGATATTAATAACGTTCCTTGTACACCCGCCCGGCATTTTGTTCGCGTTCAAAACATGTTAATCGATCACATTTACGACTATTATAATAATATGATAATATACGAATATACTATTCGAACAGAACGGCGACCCGTGTGTTTTGTGTGTTTTGCCCGACAACAATATTGTCGTCCTCATTATTATTATTGTTATTGTAACGACGGCAATAACGATTGCGGCGGCGGCCGCGTCGTCCTCCCGGGGCCGGCGCAAAACGTCGCCGGAGATAACGATAACAACCGTTACGTTATTGACGAATGTTGATGATTGTTTTATAATGGACGCCGCAAATGTTCGCCGAAGACACCAGCAGCAGCCGCTGCGGGCCGCGAACGGTAGGTGTGCCACCTCTCCAACCCTCATCCCCCCCGAACGTATACACCGAGAGCGGCGGCGGCGGCGGCGGCGGCGGAACGAATAAACGCCACAACGTCGGTCGAGTGTACAACAGGTAATTATTATTATTATTATTATTATACGATAGTCACGTAATTACCCCCTCCCCCCCCGCTCCCGTCGTGCCCGACCGCCCCGACCGCCGCAGCAGCCCTCCCCTACTCGTTGTCGTCCGCCGTTCGAAATTTAATACGAATAATTATATTTATCGCGAAAACCCGTCAACGCGATAATAAAATACGTTTCGCGACGGCAATTACAATACGATTATTGTCACTATTAGGGGGACGTGCTTCGGATCCCCGCGTAACCACGAATACCGTAATGTTATGCCGGTCGACGAATAATTCGTAATTTCCGCGATTATTGCGATTGTGTTATTTGCGGCGTCGGATTTGTCGCCGCAGACGCTCGCGGCAAACAATCGTTTTCATTGTTTATTCGATTGTTAATAGCGTTGAAAAAAAAACCGGGATATGGGCGGTAATTTCACTGGCCCGCAACGTATTGTTACTGTATCGTACGGAACGCAAACGAATCCGGAATATCGAAATTCGGGCAATTTCGAAAAACCCGGTAACCCCAGACGGCCACAGTCCGCGGGGTTAAGTGTAAACCGACGTGGTTCCTAAACATTCGGCTATAACATTTCGACACGATAGGACGTGACAGAACCGATCGTTTTCGATTTTTTTTTTTTGTCGATAAACGCGTAGCGAAACGGACCCGAAAATACGTCGTCCGATTACTATTGTATACGTCCGGTTTCGGTAACCCTCTAGAAATTCGTGCTCGTGAAAATATTTTTAGAAACCGTGTTGGCGTGGCAGGGGGTTTTTTTTCCCCCGGGATCACTGCGGTCCGGGAGATCGTAATCCAGACCAACACGTGCGGACTTATTGGCTTCCGGATTCGTATGGCCCACGATTGGAAGTCGCGGCCACATAATCGCTATCGCAAAAATGTACTGTCGCTGGCGTTACGTGGACATTATTCATACCGCGTTACCAGATGCGATTGGATGCGTTACAATGACAGCATGGTTTCGTTCGTTTATTCTCTTCCTATGGCTTATTCAAGGCCGTTAAGACCCACCGCCTCTTCCGCCACGCCAATCCACGTCTCTCTATCAAACGCTAAACTTTCTCCGTCTCCGACTCCTAGGTTCTCCGACTACGTCACTCTATCTCTGCCCCGGTCGTCCTCTTGGTCTTGTCCGATATCTGGCTTCCACATTGTGACCTTGTTTATTATTCTATCCTCCGCTCTACCCTCTCCATACCCCGCCCAGCTAAGTCTTCGACTTTTCAGAACGCCTACTATATCGACTTCGTTAAATAATTCCCTTAGTTCTGCGTATGCCCTTCGTTCGTATTCATTGTTTTCAGTGTTCTTTTTAGGGCCGAAAATCCTCTTTAATGTTTCGCTCTCAAATATCATTAGCTTCTTTTCGCCCGCCTTCGTAGAAGCTCACGCCCCCCCCCCTCATGCATATAGCACAACAGGCCATACCAGAGCTTTGTGTAGCCTAATTTTTGTTCTCCTCGATAGCAGTTTTGACTTGAACAGCGGTACTAGTGAGAAATGCCACTTATTCCCTTCTATTATTCTACGATTTTTCTATTATTCGTATATTATAATTAAAAATATTATCAGGTGGAGTTGGCCATTCGATTGAAATACACGCATAGTGCAAACAAAATATTTAAATTGAATGAGAATGCGATAATAATTAAACGATTTGACGCTCGTTTTCCGTTCTGGTGATAATGCAAATTATGAACGACGCTGTCCTTACCGTAATCGAACTTACTCGCTATATAATTATCGCGATGGCACTAAAACTATTATGCAGTTATCATAGTACGATAGTATCTATCGTGCAGTAGTGAATGGTCGTAACTTTCATATTGTTCGCCCACTGACAGAATATGGAGATAAAACTCGTACACATTTTTTTATTCATACTATCAGATCGTATTTCTTTTCAGTTATTATAAAAAAATATAGTAAAATAATTGTCACTTATTAATCATCAGATGGCCGCTTACATGTTATAAATTACAATTAGGTCACACAAAATTAAAAACAAATCAATAACAAATTTCACGATTGTATACAATGATACAACAGATTAACATAATTATAAATATAGGTAGTTACAGTGTAATATAATTCTTACGATAACGGCTATCGTGATAGCAACTGTCACGTTTAATTATCACCGCGTGACCGCGCTTTAAGGTTCACACGATCGTTACTTTAATAGAGATGATTGCAAAATTCGCAATCGTAATAGTATAACTGTCGTCGTGCAGAGAACAGAACGTTAGTGACAGTCTTGTAAGCGACTGTGAAACTATCACGCACGCACGTATGGCAGTTGTGAGTTAATGTGGCCAGACCGCGAGGGTGGTAATAACCATCCACGTTAAATTTCATTGACGCATCACACTTTCGCAGACGTTTACATTTATTTATTACACTACTCTACTATAATGTATAACAATATATACGTTTTTACGATACGTCTAAATAATGTCATCATACGAAGTTGCAACGCCCAACGTCCCCCAACCCCCACGATAGTAACTGTCATCGTGTGGATGAGAAATGATTTTTTTTTCTTCTTTAAACTGCTATAAAACCATGTTTTCCGAAACAATCAATCAAAGTTGCACTGAAACTTCAGCTACCTAATCAATAAATCAAATATCCAATAAAACTGTGTAGCTATACCGGATTTTATCTAATAATGTTTTTCTAACGGTATATAACATATTGATTACTTACTTACTTTGTTAAAACGTTCCCAACAAAGTATCATAATATATTTAAACTTGCACTTTTCGACCTTATGTTTATCTTCTATACGCGGTTTGTTTGAACATTTGTTGCCTTATTGGTTTTTTTTTTTATGGAATCTTTATGCCGTTCGACTTTTTCTATAGGTAGGTACAACAGGGCATTCAATTATAATATGACCCACTAAAGGCACAAGTTCAAATTTTCCATGGAAGGCAAAAAAAACTTTTTAAGTACCTACCTAGAGTTTTATAATATTTCATAAAATGACTATAGAAACTTACAGATTATATCTAGTAAGTTATGAACATTAAATTTTTAGATTTTTAGAGTTCTATCGAGTTTTCAAACATTTTACTTTGAACCTATGCGTGTTGTATTTCGCGTGCATCTGACACACTTTTCAATCTTTCAGCTTAAACATAGCTCTTGAAACTTTAACTTGAAAACATTGTGTACGACAACAAATGCTTCCGAGTAGAACTTGTATACATAATATTATTGGGACGGTTTTGTATAAAGGTCTACTCAAAACTATACTCACAACATCAAACGGCTATTTATACGTCACACAATTAATAGGTACTTGAATTTCGTATGATAACAGTATAATTAATATATAATATCATTATGTAAAACATGATAAAACTATGTTTATCGCGAATGAAATGCGTTTTTATTCGGATATTTATCATATTGATCTCGATTTCAGATAATATAAGTAAATCTTAACAATAAAAAACCGCTACCTCCCGTTCTTAACACATTTTAACCGCAGCGTTCGATTTATAAATGGGTACTTAAAAAATCTTCAATCGTAATTTTCTACGAGTTAAGTGCTCGAGACCATATTGTACAACGTCATTATATAAATATAGCACTGCTATTGAAGTAAATCGAAATGCATTATCTAAAATCTTTTTGCGTATATGATTTATAACATTATTATGCATATTATTGTACTCGGAATAAAAATAACTTAACGTCATGGTTAGCCTTCGGATGTAGGTTACTTTTATTTTAACAGTGCCGTTTAAATATTATGTTAATCATCGCTGAAACATTTGACAGAGTCGACCTAATATATTATTGTATGTTTGAGATTTTAATACTTTTATTATAAAAATATTAATATAATAAATAAATTTAATATGTAATTAATATTAATATTGATATAATATATTAATTTTTAAATGAATATATTATATTCATCGTCATCATCATCATCGTTAAAACCACACGAAAAGTGGTCGATTAAACTTTTAGAATTTTAGATTCTGAATGGAGCGAGGAATGTATCGGTTTTACAATGATGCTTATTTTTTTTTTTTAAATGAAGACTTTCTACCAGAAAGCATTCTCCAATTATCAAGTATAGCACTTTTTCTGAAAGGTAATGTTCTCTGTGTGGTACTTTAAAGAGGTCATTTTTTGAAATTATCGTTAATATTCGAGATAATGAGGGAAAACCTCGGTCTATAGGTTATAAAAAATTGAAAGATTAAAAATAATGTTATCGTTAGCAACCGTTTTTATTTATTATTTGTTATTATTAAGTTTTTATTATTTTATTTTTTTTTAAATAATCATTGCTATCATTCACTATTCTCCAGTAATCGCCGTTATCGATTTCTTCCTCCCGTTATATCACTTTTAATAACCATTCTGTACATCGCTAATATATTCCGTCCTCCGCTATTTTCACGTCGACTTCCTTCCGATCGATTGGCTTTTCTTCTTATGCATATGGCATAAAGCATGTTTCTAACCAGAAACCTATTTTTTCCTTTACGCATCATTACTCTTTATGAAGGGCACTCTTGTCATTTTTCTAAATTTCCGTGTTTTTTCTACTACACCATATAAAATACTCCACAACGAAC